CGTGCAGAAGCGCCAAACCCGCCCTCCCCTTTCCGACTGGGGAAACAGGTACCCAAAAAGGGAAGTGGTCCAGCAAAGTTTGCTCCGCACAGCAGAGCCGGGGCTGAGCTCATGTCTGCCCAAGCAGCGCTGTGCCCCTCGTGTCACCCTATGGTGGACTGAGATGGGTGCTGTGCCCCTCAGGTCGCCCTGCAGTGGGCTCAGATGGGTGCTGTGCCCCTCGGGTCACCCTGCGGTGTGCTCAGATAGGTGCTGTGCCCCTTAGGTCACCCTATGGTGGGCTCAGATGGGTGCTGTGCCCCTTGGGTCACCCTGCGGTGTGCTCAGATGGGTGCTGTGCCCCTTAGGTCACCCTATGGTGGGCTCAGATGGGTGCTGTGCCCCTTGGGTCACCCTGCGGTGTGCTCAGATGGGTGCTGTGCCCCTTAGGTCAACCTATGGTGGGCTCAGCCGGGCGCTGTGCCCCTCGTGTCACCCTGTGGTGGGCTCAGCCGGGTGCTGTGCCCCTCGGGTCACCCTGTGGTGGGCTCAGCTGGGTGCTGCACCCTGCTCACAGCAGCTCTCCACCCCCAGCAAACACCAGTACGCAAACTCAGAAACGGGCAGTGCAAACAGCATCGCCCACATCCTCCGAGCAGCCACCACAAGGCAGAAGGAGAGGAAGCAGCTTCTCCTCCGTGCTGCAGGCCCAGTGCTTAACTCTTTCGTGCTGCCCGCCTGGGGGGGCTGGGGTAATGCTGCAGATGGGCTCTGGGCGTGAACGCCAGAATCGGGCTCAGCTGGAGGAGGGAGCCTTGTCCCGAGGTCCCCTGCCCACAGCAGGGCTCCGAATTGCCTCTGCGGTTTCTCCAGAGTAGAAAACCAGAGGAGAAAGAGAGGCAGGATCAGTCCCAAGCCACGATCCAACCCCTCACTGTGGGGAAAGGAGTGTGAAGTCCCCCCGGGGAGGGTGATGGCCCGGAGGGAGCCTTGCTGGGCTGTGAGAGGCAGCCTGGCCCCAAAAGCATCTGCTTCACCCGCTCTGAAAGCCTCGCCCGCCCTGCAGACCCACCGATGAGGCGAGGTGCCGCTCCAGAGCCAGGGCTCCCACCCGCCCGCAGCCCCTCCGTCGCTGCAGGCCCTGCC